TCATGGGGGGAGAGAGAGAGAGAGAGAGAGAGATGGAGAGAAAATAAAAATCTGGTTTTTTTAATTTTATTTTATTTTTATAAATTTTTTTAAACTAAACTTTGAAATATTTACGGTTGTGCCACTACATTTTTGTTGATCGTAACTTTTTCATTACAACTCCGATTTGATCCCACTACTTGTCTAAGGACTCATCTCGACTTACTCTATGCAACGGTACTACTAAAACCTCCAAATTCTGTCCCAATCAAAAAGTCAACTTTAAACCCATTAAAATATTCTCAGGGTACAATTGTCTTTTACTTGAATAATTTAATAATTTAATATTAAATTAGGATTGGGTGATATCGGTCCCAAAAGGACCAGCTCAATCTCCTCTTCCTACCCCCACCCTACCTCCGACGGCACCGTTGCCTGTGGTTGCTAGAAAATTCGAGAAAACTAGCTGTTTTTACGTAAAACTTCCCGGAGTTCATTCGGACGATTCCGACCACCAATTTCTTCGATCTAGGTATGCTTTTTCATCCTCTCAATGTGTTCTAGATGTTGGTTGGGTTGTTTAGGATTAATTTCTGGGTTTTGAACCGGTTTTTATTGCTTAAAGTTTTGGCCAGTTTTGGTTCGCGATTCCGGCCACCTCTGGTCACTTTTTGAGGTTGGTCCAAGAATAAAAGTTGCTCCATTCATTGTCATAATCATGTAGATATAGGTCTTGACTGGCGGTTTGGAGATTTTTCAGTCGCCGGAATCTCTTTGGCCACCCACGCGTTGCAGGCGTGTGGGCCACTTTGTGGAGGGCCATTGGGTCCTAAAATAATCCCCATGTCGTTCTGAGCACGACGGTATGCTCGGATTTGAATTTGGTTATCGTTTGACCGTCGATCGGATTACGCATATTTGGCGTTATCAGGGTTCGATATGTTCAGACCATTAGATTGACTCCAATTTCATATATGTTGATCTAGACATCTCTAGGATCGTGTAGGAATTTGCGAATCGTGAATTGGAGTCCCAGATGCTCCGATTCAATGACTTAAAGTTTGTGTAAAACGATAACCATCCGATCGTGCGATCGCGAGCGATATGACCATTCGATTCAGACCAAACTTGCTGGACGTGTAATCTAAACCTTATTGAACCCATATGAACCTTCAGATCGGAAAATGGAGGTCATGGGCCCTACAGGCCCAGTTGACCAGATTTTGGAAGTTTGACCGAGCATTTTCTGAGGCTATTTCATCGTCTAGAACACGTAGTTGGACTTTAAGAACCTCTCGTTCGGCGTACACACACTTGAATCCCGGGAAACTAGGATTTTATTTAAAGTTCTAGTTCGAATCGCTTTATGTTAATCTAGCGCTCGTGTTTGTAAATAGGTACTCCAGCTACTCGCACGCAGCAGACGGGACCTTCTCAAGGTCAAGTAGTGTGGGACTACTTGTGAGTGGACTTTGTTTTCAAATAATAAGCATTGTTTTATGATGGAAAAACTATGCATATGGATTTAATGGTTTATTGAATTCGTTATATATTCAATTGTTGAACTTAATATTTTTGTAAAGTATTTGCAATATATTTGGGTTTTGCCATATTTGAGTATCTTGAATTTATATATATGAATTTTGAGAATTTCTAGCTATGGTTGGTTATGTGTGGGGTACGTGGGGTATTGATGTGAGCATATGGAAAGAAAATGGATTTTAGTATGTCAGTTTGAAGTGCTATACGCACTACCCTATATACCTCCCCGGATACCTGAAAATTGAGATACTTGGATATGTTGGAACCCGGGCACCCTTGACGGGGTGTTTCGTAGACCCTTAGCGGGGTTAGTCTGCACACGTAAGACTTGTCACAGGCGTATGAGTATTGAGGATTCTGCTGTACGTGCTGGATAGCTTAGTCCCAATTAGACGGCTCGTTCCCTAGCCAATTGATGATTCTTCCATGTGGACTAGTCAAACAATCCTCCAGTTGAATTGTTTTCCCGGTACAAATTAGGTGATGTCATACTTATATATTTATTTATATATTTCATATTATGTACATATATATATAACTATTCGTTTATTATTATTTATCGGTGAGGATACTTCCTCGCTCACTGTGCCAACGGGCACATGTTTCGAGGTAATGGTTTGTGATTGGTATGAAAATTTTGTTTGGGTTGAGAAACTAATTATCCTTATGGGATTCCGGATATATATATATATATATATCCATGATGGTTTGAATGCATATGGTTTTCAACATCGTTTTCTAAACGGTGGGGTTATATTATGTTGGTTTCAAGTGTGAACTAAACTTTGTTTTTTGTCTACTCACACTTCTCCGTTTTGCGCCCCCAGATTGTAGTTGACTGAGTTGAGCAGCAAAGCCGAGCCCTGAGCTTCCGAACCTCGAGTCTCAGTAGTTTAACTTTGTTCGTTCCTCTCCCGTTTAACTTTGTTATCGTTTGTAAACTGAAACTCTTAGATTGCTTTGTTATCACCCGTGCTAGAGTTTGATTTGGGAGGACGGAGGCCTCTGTTGTAAACTGTATGAATTCACCTTGTGCATGCTGCCTGCTGGGATATATTAATTGCATTTTTAACATGTTGAGAAATTTGGGAAATGTCCGATTTTCAGGGGAGACTACCGAATTTTCGGCAAAAAGTCTCGTTTCTTAGTAAGTGGGCCTGACATCGGTAAGATGCTAGAACTTTCACGAGATTCGTCCTAGATTTCGAGGAATTCGGGGCGGGTCCTATCATCAACAGCCAGTAATAACAACATGGAAATAACCAGAAAACAAACTAACAAAGCATCAAAAGTAGGAAAAAAAAAATACAGCAAGAAAAATATAGCCGCATGTATTGTTCTAATTGCTGACTTGGGATGATAATTTGATTATTGAGTTGGATACCTGGAGAAGATGAAATACATAAAAAAAAAAATGCAAGAAAAACTGAACAACATGTATTGAGTTGGATACACAGCCGCATGATGATTATTTGATTATTTGATTATTGAGTTGGATACACAGCCACATGATGATTATTTGATTATTTGATTATTGAGTTGGATACACAGCCACATGATGATTATTTGATTTTTTGATTATTGAGTTGGATATAGAGCCGCATGTATTGTTCCAATATATCAAGAAAAAAAAAAGGTAAAAAAGGAAAACTTATAACCTAATTTCCACAAAAATTTAATAAAAGAGGAATATATAAAGAAAGAGAAGATGAAGAAAGAAGAAGAGAGAATAAGTATATTGGTGAGAGTATGAGAGGGGGAGAGAGAGAGAGAGAGAGATATATATATATATATATATATATATATATATATATATATATATATATATATATATATATGGATACCTGGAGAAGATAACAGAGAAGAACCCTAGGGAGAAGAAGATGAAAATAACGTCGTTGAATTTTTCATGTGAACATGTGTGTTCTTTTCCCTAGCTGTATAATTAAGCATGTATTATCTAAACCGGAGTGTGTGAGTTATATTAGTTAGTCAGGTAAGGAGAGTATTAAAAGCCCAACTCGTATAAAATAGTCAAGTAATTAAATAATACAAGTAGACACCAAACACCTGACATTGACTATTTACTCTTATACAGAGTCTAATACGGTGTACCAAACGAGCCCCTAAGCTTCTCGTAGGATTAGAGGTGGCAATTTCGAGCACGACCCATTACACGACTTGAAACCCGCACGAGAATTTAGCGGGTTCAACCTGCACGATTAAAATTCATGTCATTTTCGAGTCAACCCGCCATGACCTGTTTAATAAATTAGTAGGTTTCGAGTTAACCCGCCAACCCGCTAAAATACCTATGTAACTCGTTTAACAAAACGGGTCATGACGGGTCAACCACCCAACCTGCTAAAATACATATTAACCCGCCAACCCGCTAAAATACCCATGTAACCCGCCAACCCACTAACATGTTTATTTGTTTATTCTTCATTTTTCTAATTTTTTTTTTTAATGTCTTTTAGTTGCTACCACTTAGCGGGTCAGCTCGATATCACCCGAAACCCGCACGAGAACTTAACGGGTCAACTCATGATGACACATTTATTAAACAGGTCGGGTTTGGGTTGAGCATTCCTGACACGTATATAATCTTGATACAACATGACACGACCCATTGCCAGCTCTACGTAGGATAAACTTTTGGATTTAAATAGTGTTGTTTTGTATTGCGTTACATTTACTTGTGATTTTTGTTTTTGTTAAGCTTTTATTTATGCATAGAGATGCATTTGAGGGTAACGCTCAATTTGTTCCCCGATTAGGTGTATCTTTTTATGTTTATTAATGAAATTCACTGGTACTGTTGAGTTTAGTACATATGTTTTGCACGACCAACTTTCAAATTCTATATCCTCCATTGGTTGAGCTTGAGTAAAGGTGGGCATGGGTTGAGTTGGGTTGGTTTTAGTCCCAATCCGTAACCCAATTCTATAGCAGTTTATTCTTGGACCCAAGACTTGCTCATTATTAGGCCAATTCAACTCAACCCAGATTTCTTGTAATCTAGTTGGGCAGTTCGGTCGGATTAACCCAATCTTAAGCATACTTTTAAGTTTTGATTCCAACCCGTACATAGCGGTTAATGATTTTTTAAACTTAAAATCTGCTAATTTTTTGGCCAACTAACCCATTATGATTGAGCTGACAGTTCAGTCGGGTTGACCCCTACTTGAGAGTGACATTTGGGCCGGTAAGCGGTGACTTGCTTGAAATAAAGTCGGTTACGTTGAGAAAATCCCAAATATTACGTACCTTCCTTTGCTTAAGCAAGCCTCATAAGCATAAATTCCCCTTGCTGCCCCTGCCCTGTCCCTCGCGCTCACACTCACACAGCTGCTTACAGGTTCTCACTTTCCCAATTGGGTGATGCTTTCTTTCGTTAAAGTTGGAGACTTGAGATTGTAATGTCATCTTTGCACTACAAATATATAATTTGCAGTTTGCCCAGTTGAGGTTGAGTTGTTTTGTTTGAAGATATGATAGTGTGGGCACTTTTAACATCAGTAGGAATCAATCTTGGTCTTTGTCTCCTCTTCTTCACTCTATATTCTGTATTGAGGAAGCAACCCAGTAATCTTGAAGTCTATGCACCACGCTTGGTTGCTGCTAAAGAAGGATCTGAGCAAAAAAATGGTTTCAATTTCGAGAGGCTGTTACCAACTGCAGGTTGGGTGAAAAGGGCATGGCAGCCCTCTGAAGATGAGCTCCTCTCAGTCACCAGCTTAGATGCTGTGGTCTTCATGCGCATTTTTATCTTCAGGTTGCTATATAAGCTAGAATTGCAGGGTATGTTGAGATTGATTTTGCTTTTTCGAGTGCATATTTGAGTTTATTTTGTTTGTTTTTATGCAGTTTGAGAGTCTTTGGCTTTGCTGGGATTGTTGGGGTTCTCATTCTTCTTCCAATAAATTATCTGGGGAGCCAGCTCAATGTGGATTTTGATTTTTCTGATTTGCCCAACAAGTCTTTGGACTCCTTCAGTATTTCAAATGTTAATGATGGCTCAAAATGGTAATTGTCTGGTTCGGAGTGTCATCTGTAGCTGCTCTTGATTGAAACTTGTGGAAATATTGTTGACAAAAGATTAACTTGACATGAAATTGCAGTCTTAAACACTGCCGTTATTATTCTTTGACTCATTGTTGCATTTGCTACGATGTGTTGAGTGCCTTGTATAGCCCTGCATCATATTTCCACACATTGTTCCCCAATGCAGTAATCCATTTCAGTGGCTTTCAAGTCTATGCACTATATGCCCTTTATAAGTTAGTGCATCAATCAATAAAACGTTAAAGACCTAGGATTCCCTCTTTGTGCTCGCACATTCATAGCCTTAGACTGCAGGTGAAGCCGTATGAGCTTAGGTTGAGATTTGGATATAGGTCTCTGGTGTATCTTATAATTCCTGTGTGGCAGCTTTGTTATATTTCGTTTTTGTCAGACTCTGGCAGATTAAATAAGCTAACTTAGATGGGAAATATTGCTCCTAGATACCAGCAACTGAGTTGGAGTTTTCTCTTACTTTTTGTGCTTGCACATTCATAGACTAAGAGTTAAGAATGAAGTTGTTCAAGCTCATGCCAAGATATGGACTTAGGTCTGTTGAATATCCTTCTCACATATTATTCAAACTAATTTCGACCTCTATGTGGAGTAGTTCTCTTTGATGTTCCTAGATAATGTTCAAGTACATTTGGATTTATTATATTTATAGTAGGCATAATAAAATTATTCTGAAGATCACCTGATTATTAGTTTTGGTCTCCCAAGGTTATGGGTTCACTTTTGTGCAGTATACATTTTCAGTGGAGTCGTCTGCTATCTTCTTCATTATGTAAGTCAGATTTTGTTTTTTTATGGCTTATTCCATCGTTTTCTGGTTCATTTAGAAGAAAGAATCAACACTGATTTCAACTTGATGACTATAACTGCAGGAGTATGGCTATATCTCATCAAAGAGATATGCGCACTACTATTCATCCAAACCTCAGCCTCATCAATTTACAATATTAGTTCGTGGTATTCCTGTCTCATCTGGGAGCAGCTGCAGTGAAACTGTTGAGAGATTTTTTACAGAGTATTATCCTTCTACTTATCTTTCACATGCAGTGGTTCGCCGAACCAACAAACTCCAACGTCTCACTGTAAGCATTCCGTATGGATAATTGATTCAATCTTTTGTCCCCACTCCTCACGGCCCACAGGGGTCATATTTATTGTGGGAGTTTATTTTGGAAAATAAGTATGGGAAGTCATTTATTTTTCACTTATAATCATGTTATGTGCCTATGTTTGAATGCATTTTTTTTTGGATAGTCCTGACAATGTGTGCAAGTAATCAAGCAGAAAGTAGTTTATCCTGTTTATGTAGCCTCTGCACCTCATAATTCTTGACTGAAGAACAAAATGTTTAAGAATTAATTTGTTTTCGAGCTCTGTGATCTGCATTGACTTGACTATTTCACCACCATGCCATACATTTAATTTTACGAGGGTATTACCTTGTAACTTTAATCAAGGAGTGTCAGACTAATCCTCAACAAGTTAGTTTTTTTTGGCTTGTTTTCTAAGGCCCTGCTTGGTGCTTCTGTAATTGCTATGTGTATTCTTTTTAGGTTCTTACATATCGCACCTCAGAGTCCCTTTCTGCTTGCTTCATCCTACCCTTCCTGGTCATCAGTTGTAGCCTATATTTATTTAGTTGCTTAAACATCATACCTGAGTCCCTTCCTGCTTGCTTCGTCTCACCCTGCCTGGCCATCAGGCGTACCCTATATGTATATGTATATATATATTTTGGGTTTCTGAAAACATCATACCTAAGAACATCTGAACAAATTTGTAATGCATAATTTCGAAATAGGGTTGTTTTCAGACACTAAAATTGTAACAGTTATAACATTTCTTTATCAAATGAGAAATTGACAATGATTCATATATATTTTTTCTTTTCGTAGAGTGATGCAGAAAAGCTATACAGAAGGCTTGTGCATCTGAAATCGGAAACTAAGCCCCAGCAAAGATCTAGACGTGATGGCTTTTGCGGGCTTTTTGGACGCAAAGTTGATGTTTTAGATCAATACGGAAAGAAATTGGAAAATTTAGAAGATAATTTGAGAATGGAGCAATTGTCAGTGGCAGGAAAGGTATTCATGGTATTATTTTTTTCAATAGAGTTTGATAATAATTGTTTCAAATGGTATAAAAGAAGATCTCCTCTAGTTAAGAATTCCTTTAGCATTAATCTGAATGTAAGAGGTGAAACAAAAGTATCCATGAAACGTAATAGAAATCAGTAACACCCTTCTTCATCATTATTATTATTTTTTTGTTATACTGATTTGTATATGGTGGCTTTAAGAAATGCATGAATAAACACGAATAGGCACATATTTTTGACTTCTAAAAGGCATCAGAATATTTAGAGAAAAAAAATTATAATTGGAATAGATTATTCCAATATTGTTTGATTTATATGAGCATGAAATTTGATGTAGTTGATTGTTCCACAATGCCCAAAAAATATTAATAATAGGAAGTTCCAGCTGCCTTTGTGTCATTTAAGTCCCGGCTTGGTGCTGCAATAGCTTTACACATTCAACAAGGAACAAATCCCACAGAATGGGTCACCGAGAGGGCTCCGGAGCCTCAAGACGTTCACTGGCCCTTCTTTTCTTCATCTTTTATAAAAAGATGGATCTCCAAGCTGGTGGTGGTGGTTGCATGCGCTGCTCTTACAATTCTATTCCTCATTCCAGTTGTAATAGTGCAAGGCCTTACTCATCTTGAACAGTTGGAAATGTGGTTTCCTTTTCTGAAAAGCATACTGAACCTGTAAGTGGAAAATATAGCATTTTCATTAATTAACTCTTCTTTGTTTAAGACGTGATGCTGAATCGTACAATTTCTTGACGTACAGAACAGTTGTCAGTGAAGTCATAACAGGTTATCTTCCAAGTCTTATTCTTCAGTTGTTCCTTTCTTTTGTGCCACCCATCATGATAATGTTGTCATCCATGGAAGGTTGCATCTCTTTCAGTCAGATAGAAAAAAGTGCATGCACCAAGATGTTGTGGTTTACCATATGGAACATTTTCTTGGCAAATACACTATCAGGGTCAGTTCTCTATCGGTTCAATATCTTTCTTGAGCCCAAAAAGATTCCGGGAATCCTTGCTGATGCTGTTCCAGCACAGGTGAAAATACATACGCAATGTTAGCATGTATTCCTCTCTGGAATAATCATATGAAGTTTTAAGAAGCTTTTTGAAAATTAATTACTATGGCCATTCCCTTTCTCATTTTTCTTAAATCTTAATTAAACTATAAAAAAGCTCCTTGAACTGTTGGAGGGTTCGCAGAAAGTTAACAGGTGAAATTTTTACTTAACTACTTCCTGGTAATTTTTTCCCGACCTATAACGTTTTCAAATACTTTTTCTTGATCATCATTAAGTTATAATCTTGGTAATAATGGGAGGATAATTTGTTATCAATAAAAAATTTGTGGTTCTTGTATGATTGTATCTTTGTCTTCCGAACTTGAGATTTGGCTTAAATGTTAAAAGTTGAACTTTTGAAACCATTTATTTACATCAGGAATTGATGATGAAGGATATTATATATGTTCTTTATCTTGGATGCAGGCATCATTCTTCATTGCATATGTTGTGACATCTGGATGGACCAGTCTTCTATCCTCAGAGCTCTTCCGCCTGCATCCCCTGATTTCCAGTATTATAAAAAGACCATTTTCAGGAAAAGATGATGATGAATTTGAGGTTCCTTCAATTCCATACCACAGTGACATTCCTAAAGTTCTGTTTTTTGGACTCCTTGGAATAACATATTTCTTCCTGGCTCCGCTGATTCTCCCCTTCCTTTTGGTTTACTGTTGTCTGGGATACATAATCTACCGTAACCAGGTTAGTTGAATGCTTTCTTTTTATGCAAAATTATTGGATGAAAATGATTAAAATTCTACCTTTCAAGATGAGACAACCTACTTCGAGCATTAGTGCTCTTTAAAGGTGAATAGCATAGTATAATATTACAATCAGT